CATGGGATGGCGAGGGGATCTAAAGAGCAGGTGGATGGTTTAGATTTGCGGATGATCTGTTAGTTTTTACATTTCAAAACATCTTGTGTCAAACTGAGTGTATTTAAACCTAAAGAGAATCACACAGAGAAAAAGCAGCAATTAGAAAATTTTATTGACAAAAGAAATGAATGATTTTTCCCTCAGAACTCGCCAGAAGACAATAAGGCTGCATGCAATCGTACTGGTAGATCTAGGTTAGCAATGACTTTTTAACACTGGGGGGGGGGCTTGCTTATCAATAAAGTAAGGATGGCCTGGATAGTGATCGGTTCATATGTAAGCAAGCAGAGGTTTATAATTAGGAGATTACAGGTAATGGCCTTTCAGCTTGAATTTGAGCCTAAGCTTCATGTGAATCTAAACTTGATTAAGACATTAGGAAAAAGTTAATATATTTTTATTGTACGTGGAGATTTCTAAGATGAGCCTTTTGAAATAAATCCTAGCTCTTTGGCCTTTGGATTTCTGGATGAGACTCCACAGCTTTCAAACACCAAAGCAACCCCTGAATAACATCAAAATTGATGATTTGACACTTACTCCCTCAGAGATGTTTTACACACCAAGTACATAAACTTACATTCTGTTTAAGACTGGCATCACTATTGCTATACCAAATTATTGTATTTAATGCAAAGATACATTAGCAACAGTTTAAAAGCTCCAAGTGCCCCTTTAAAAGCAAGAACAGAGATTGTATTTTCTAATCTTTGATTTTATTTAACAGGAATCCTGCAAAACTTCAACTGTATGAAACATCAACTTACATAACGTAAGATCACAAGTTGTAAAGTACCATTTCAAAAGATTTTTAGCAATGTAGCTATAAATCAAAATGGAATATTCATTAGCATCTTAAAGCAGCATAGATATAATATTTATCTTCAGAAGAAATATAAAAGGTTTTAACATTATTAGATTTAACTTGCAGTCTGCTTCTGAGTTCCTTGGCCTCCTGGACTGCTTACATCTCACACATATCAAAGTGCCCACACATCCACAAGCCCAAACTATTGATTTAGTGATAACACTGTCCCCATCACCCAAATTAAAGTCTATGACTTGTGCTTTTCTGACCATAAGGTTGTCTCCCAGGATCTGTACCTTGCAGGTCCTACACCACAAGAGGAAACCTAAAATCTGTTTCAGTCTTGAGCTATGACTTCCAGCAAGTATCACTGGTCACGCAGTTTCTATCAGTTAATGGCTATGCTGACCACTATAATTGTAGTCTTTACAGGATCCCTGATTGACATTCACCAACCACCAATCATGCAACAAAGCACTCAACACAGCCAGGTCCCAATATTTTCTCATAACATCTCAAACTACATTGCAATTTAAAAACAGTTGTTCGTACCAATCAATTCGCTTCTTAACAATCTACACATGCACATGCTGACACCAGTACAGATCAGTGCACTGGGTTCATGGAGGCTTTCACCAACCAGGGGTGGCTTCAGTCTGAGAGAGGTGAAGAAAAATCATACAGTGCAGGAGACCATCCATATGCCTACAATATTAAGCATATAGTCAACTGATCACAGCAATCCTGAGCCAGTAACTCTAATCTGGTCAGGTTCCTCCAGCTCCTAAAAGAGCAGTTATTCGCCCCCATTTGAAAAAGCCCTCATTCGACCACACATTTTTGCTCATCACAGACCCCCCTCAAATCTGGCATTTCTGTTCGAAGTCCTACAAGAAGTTGTTGTAGGCCAACTCAAAAATCAGCATCACATTCTTAATATATACCAACAAAGTTCAGTCTGGTTTTCAAGCAGCAGAGAGCATGGGCATAGCCCTCGTCCACATCATGAATGATCTACTTATGACTGCAGACCAGGGTTCACCATCTCTACTCCTCCTACTAGACGTTGTGGATTACAACATC